TGAAAGAGAGAGAGGGGGGTAGAGGGAGAGAGAAAAGAGAGAGAGAGAAAAGGGGAGTGAGAGAGGGAGAGATAGTGAGGGAGAGAGAAAAGAGAGAGAGAAAAGGGGAGTGAGAGAGATAGTGAGAGAGAGAGAGAAAAGGGGGAGTGAGAGAGAGAGACAGAGAAGAAGAAAAAGAGGAAATAAAGAACTCTTGTTTTGTGACTGGCAACAGAAACAATGAGTTCTGTTCAAACTAATTCAAGGAGGGATGAAAAAATCAGACGCGTATTTAAATCCAGTGCTTGAAAAATGAAAATAATGTTGCCTTTGTGGAGATTGGAAACCGCAATAAAAGGCAAAGAAAGGAAAAGAAAGGGATTTAGTGGACGTGAGGTGGAGTTACGGATGAAAGTTGAGAATTTCATCATGAATAACAATCGTTATATTCTCGTTAAGGAGAAAAACATAAAAGATTCATCTATCGCCTTAATATTGTGGTACTCATGATAATAATGATAGTATTGATAATGTGAATGATGATAGTAGTTAATGATAATGGTAGTATAATTAAATAAAATATAAAATAACGATTACTATTGTTTTAAGATAAATTCATTAATAATAATAATTATTATAGTTGTTGTTATTTTTATTATTAACTATTATTATTATCATCATTATTATCATCATTATTATTACTAATTTTATTACTGTTGGTGTTGTTGTCGTTATTATTGCAGTTACGTTCTGTCGTAAATAAAACTTTCTGGAATTATATTGATCTGGGAGTGGTACTAAAGACGGTATTTTATTTAGTAAACTTTAAGCAGTTGCTAAGGCGTGAGAACATATTAATGATATTATAATCTATTCATATCCTGATCAATGGGAATAATTCTTTGAAATGGAGCCGAGAGGGCCCTATGAAACTATCACGGAGCTAACGGTGTTTGGTGACGTCAAGAACATGTGAATCACTCTATGGCAAGCAATTCTTTCAATATTTCTTCTTTTTTTTAAATTACCAACATTATTTCCCCCACGTCCGGTTTCCTGCGGTCGTTCTGTTGTTAGTGGCTGGTTTGATTGGTTGAATTCTTTTCAACATTATTAATATAATAATATTTTTTTTAAAGCACTCATGAATATTGAATGATTGTTTACATCGGTTTATTGGGGAGTAGCTCCTTCTCTCGTTTCCGTTTTCATTTTCGAATGCATTATTCATAGCGTATTGCTCAATTTCTGTTTTCAAG